AGAAAGAAAGAAAGAAAGAAGTCCAGATACTCAGTAATTGTTTTCAATGCCAAAAATAAATAAAACAGAAGACAGAAAACAGACTGTTTTAAAAGTAAATGTTTAACTTATAATTAATAAATAGGAAATAGCCAGACCTAGTACAAAGGCAGCTATGCAACCTTCTCCACACAAATAAGCCTACTATCAGAATAAAAGCTAATTTCAGAAATATGGGACATGCAACAATTCAGCTCAATTTGTCAGATCTTATATCTAATAATACTGTTTGTTCATCAGGATTCTGAACTAGTAGATAGTGACATTACTTCTAAATCATAAGATGATTTATTTAACAGTAAATACAGCTTTTATTACTAAAAAATTTAAGGTTTTCTAATACTTTTCAATCGGGTAATCCATGTCTGTAGTATCTCCTTATTATCCAAATATTTTTAAAACTATCTTTTTTCTTAATATGCATTAATTTGTTTAGCTATCACCACAACCCTGTAAGGTAACTATTAGGTCAAAGAAGCTCATACTCTGGGAGCCTAGGTGGCTCACTAAGTTAAGCATCTGGCTCTTACCTTCAGTTCAGGTCATGATCTCATGGTTCATGAGTTCGAGCCCTGCATCGGGCTGTACAGAGTGCTGGCAGTGCAGAGCCTGCTTGGGATTCTCTCTCTCTGCCCCTCCCCCGTTTATGTGCTCTATCTCTCAGAAAATAAATAAACATTAAAAAAAAAAAAAAGCTTAAACTCTATATACTAATAAAACCCAGCTTGTCAGTTACACATGTAAGAGAAAGAGCAGAGAGCGCCTCTCTGGGATAATTCATTCCCAAAGAAGAGAACCAAACCCCCAGCCTCCTGAGCAATTTCAAATGATGAAAAAGTGGCAGCAAGTTTAAGTCAAAAAACACAAATTAAGGGGCGCCTGGGTGGCTCAGTCAGTTGAGCATCTGACTTCAGCTCAGATTGTGATCTTGTGGTTCACGAGTTCAAGCCCCATGTCAGGCTTGACAGCTCAGAGTCTGGAGCCTGCTTTGGATTCTGTGTCTCCCTCTCTCTTTTCCCCTCCCCTACTCATACTCTGTCTTTATCAAAAATAAATAAAATATTTTTAAAATACCACACAAATTAAAATAAATCCAATGCCCTATTTCTCCAGAATAAATTTGAAGAAACTGCTAAAGCTCTTCTTTATTTCTCTGGATTCTTCTATCAAGAATTTTAATGGTTAGATTTCCAGTTTCCCTTTAAAATGCCAGTTAAGGACAGGTTTTCCAATATTTATTCCAAAAGCTTCCAACTGCACAACACAAAAGGTCCACAGGTTCTATAGATCTTGTGACCTATACTCTGTGCTTGGTAAAAATATGGCATTTACAAAAGGTACAAATCATCAATTACTAGCAAGCTTGGAAGTGAGAGAACACTGTCTTCAGGGAAGAGGTAAAGAGAAAAACAATGACATAACTCTGTAAATGAGCTGCCATAATAATCTCAACGTAGAGCAACACTACTTAATTCCATTTATTTTGGAGATCATTTATTTTACTTGAGTGAAGAATTGACTTTTATGTTTATTCTTTCTTTCATAAACAATCAGCTTTCTCCAGACATCAAAACAGATTCAACTTAAGCTACTGCACCTTCTTCATATCCTTATGGTAAAATGGGGATAATATCACCCATCCCTCTGGGCAGAAGGGTAACCAGAGTCTGTGATTTAAAGCGTAGAGCACAATGCCTGGCACAGAACAGTTTTACACATGAAGTATAAAGAGAACTCTACAGTCCTGGACATCACTGAGCATCTACATTTGGAGCAAGCTAGACCTCATTACAAAGTCTCATTATGAAAAACTATTTTTAAGGGCACATAATGACTAAAACTCGCTAAGGTAGACTAATATAAGTGCTAACCATATAACAGAAAAACCTAAGTCTCATCCACCTCCTCATGGCAAACAAATCAAAAAATAGAGAAAAAAATTACTCACAAGCAACAAAAGAAAAAAACAGATGGGGTGTCTGGGTGGCTCAGTCAGTTGAGTGTCAGACTCCTGACTTCAGCTCAGGTCAGGATCTCAGGGTCATGAGATAGAGCCGTGCATTGAGCTCTGCACTGACAGTGCAGAGGCTGCTTGAGATTCTCTCTCCCAGTCTCTCTGCCCCTCCCCCGCTTGCACACATACACATCTCTCCCCTCTCTCAAAATAAATAAATAAAAATTTAAAAAAAGACAAAAAAAACCCCAGACAAACTGGACTACATCAAAATTTAAAACTCATGTGCATCAAAGGACACACTCAATAGTGAAGACAACCCACAGAATATCAGAAAATATTTGCAAATTTATACACGATAAGGGGTTAATATCCAAAATATAAAAAGAACACATACAATTCAACAATAAAAAGAATCCAAATAAAAAAATGGGCAAAGGATTTGAATAGCCATTTCTCCAAAGAAGATACACATGGCAATAAGCATATTAAAAATGCTTAACATCACTAATCATTAGGAGAACGCTAATCAAAACCGCATGAGATATCACTCGACACCAATCAGGATGGTTATTATTATTATAAAAAAGAAAAAGAAAAAAACAGAAAATAACAAGTTTGGTGAGGTTGCAGAGGAATTGAAACCCTTGGGCACTGCTGGTAGGAATGCAAAATAATACAGCTGCTGTGGAAGACAGGATACTTGATAGAATTACCAAACGATCCAGTAATTCTACTTCTGAGTATAAACCCAAAAGAATTTAAAGCAGAGACTTAAACAGATATTTACTTGTAAATCCTCACTCACAGCAGCATTACTCAATGAAGGGCAAAGGGCGGTCACTCCAACTTGGGTTTCTTTGACATGAAGACTATTTTGAGCTAAAAGCAATCAATTACCTGCAGATTCTGGAAAAGCTTTTTACCGCTCCCTCAACTGCCTAAATTTACATTGGAAAGGAGAGCCTATACCAGGAAGCAAGTTACTAAGAAAGATTGTCTTTACCTAAGAAACTTATTTGCATAAGAGGCAACTTTAGTTTTCCAAATATCATCTCTCAACTTCCTAAGATCTTTCTCCCAGTGTATCCTCAGACCTTACCCACCCCTCTCCTTAGCTCACAGAGGCATCATGTTGCCTGTTTTTGGAATTTCATGTCTGTGTGGATTCCCTGTTCACATGCTACTGAATTTGATTTTCTCCTGTTAATCTGTCTTATATCAACGTGATTCTTAGTCCTACTAGAGGAACTCTGAAGAGCAGACTATTCTTCCTCCCCAAAATTCACAACAGCCAAAAGGTAGAAATAATCCAAGTGTCCAAGACAGATAAATGCATAAACAAAATATGATATACCCATACATTGGAATATTACTCAGTCTTTAAAAGGAAAGAAATTCTGACATGTGCCACAACATGGATGAACCTTGAAGATACTATGTAAAGGAAATAAGTGAGTTACCAAAGGACAAATACTGTAGGATTCCACTTATATCAGTACCTAGAGTAATCAAATTGGGAGACAGAAAGTATAAATGTGGATTATATGGAATAATGGAAATATGCAATAATGGAAAGTAATTAATGCCACTGAACTGTATACTTAAAACTGTTTAAGAAGGTAAAATTTTATGTACTATGTAAATTACCACTATATATGTATACATATACACACATACACATATATATATAATTACCACTATATGTATACATATGCATGCACACACACACACACACACACACACACACACACACACACATATATCCCTCCAGCTTTCAATTCACTGACTTACCCTACTCTTCAGTTTACCTTGTCTCAAATTTAAATTCTTTTTTTTTTTAATTTTATTTATTTTGAGAGAGAGTGTGTGTGTGTGCCCACAAGCGAGCACAAACAGGGACGGGGCAGAGAGCCATGGAAAGAGAGAATCCCAAGCAGGCCTGCACTGTCAACACTGAGAGCCCAACATGGGGCTCAATCTCATGAACTATGAGATCATGACCTGCCGAAATCAAGAATCAGACGTTTAACCGACTGAGCCACCCAGGCACCCCTCAAATTTAAATTCTTAATGGATTTTCATAAGCTTGAAAGAAGTAACAACACTTTCTCAAAATCAAGATCCAAATTTACTTACCTATTCTGGATTCCTGTAGAATCATTTTTTAAATCATAGAAAATGGCACCTATAACCAATCCCAGGATGATTGTTACAATTATCTTTTCGAAAAGAAAAAGAAGAAAAGTCTTAATTAAAGGCAAAAACAACACACCATTTATGATTATTATATGGCTACATAACCAAATTTCTCCATTGAGATAGATACTTCAAATGGTTCAGCCAAAGCCCTTGGGAGAATATGGAACAGTGTATGTTATTAGACCGCTTTCTAAATTAAAAAATAATCTATCTGTGTGTTGGGGAGGCTGACAGTAGAACACAGTAAACTCCTAGAACTCTAAGGATCCCCCCACTGATTCACCAGGCCGGTTCAAAGTCTAGTTCAAACTACCAGGCCTGGGAAGGCCATATAGAGTAGGGAAGCAATGCAAGTGCATGGCTAAGTCATTTGAGAAATAAAATAAAGTCCAAGTGGCTCAAGAGTTCTGACCTGAACTTTCAACCTTTGTGCTAGTGAACATGCAGTTTTATATTTGAAGAGGCTCAAGTAAAAACAGGATATCTTTACTCTTTTTTTAAAATGACTTTTTAAAAAATATGTTTATTTATTTTGAGAGAGAATATGTGCGTGTGTGTGTGTGAGAGAGAGAGAGAGCGAGAGCAGGGTAGAGGGGCAGAGGGAGAGAGAGAGAAAGAGAGACAGAGAGAGAGAGAATCCCAAGCAGACTCCACACTCAGCACAGAGCCTGACACGGGGCTCAGTCTCACAACTGTGAGATCAAGGACCCGAGCCAAAATCAAGAGTTGAACACTTAACCGACAGCCACGCAGGCACCCCAGGATATTTTTACTTTTAACATTAAAAATAAATAAAATGTTTCAAGCACATATAAAACAATTCTAACAATGTTATTTCATGTGATAAGGAAGCAGCGTTAAGCTGGGGCCCGCCTATCTGACCCAGGGGACAGTCTATGCCTGCACTGGAAAAGTGCACTGTCACTGCCACCAAAGCATTCAACCAGCTCTCTCTGAGGGTACCCAAGTACTTTCACTACCCATTCTCTTGTCACTGCTTCTCCAGCAACCTCAGCCCAAGGGCCTGCAGCCAAACGAGTAGAACTAAGCTGCCAGTTTTTTGCCACTCTTACCTACCTTCACTTACTCGGTCTGTTTGAGGACTCAAGTAGACTGGATAAATATTGCTTTTGTTTTTAAGATTGACAAAATATCTCTTAAGGACACTTCTATAAGCAAAGGATTAAGGGTTATACTATGACACAATTTATTTAGGAAAGTTCTACATATTGTACTTTTATGTTGTATTAAATTTAAAAAATGTAAGAAATGGTAATCTGAAGAAAACAAAATATCCCACCATGTATCTTGGAACCTTCAAAGTTAAAAAATAAAATAAAAAAAATCTCAGTACTACTACAGTACAATGGTATCAAGACTTGAAGGAATTTTTTAAAGCATATTTTGGCATGAAGCAAACCAAACGGGTAAACAGGATCATGATCTGTGGAGGCTAGTTTGTGAAAACCACAGTCTGGAAAAAGTATGATCTGAGATGTCTTTAAAATTCCCTTGCTAATAAGACAGTCAGAAATTTGGAGAAAAAAATCTATTACCCTGGTATATTTTCATTACCCTCAGAATATACTGTACTTCATGCCAACAGATAAGCTTCCAAAATAAATGATGATGGCTCCATTACCATGTGTGCATGTGTATATATACAAGTCTCTATGTTCACCCAGTATAGCTTTAAGAATGTCTGGACTTTTGGGGCGCCTGGGTGGCGCAGTCGGTTGAGCGTCCGACTTCAGCCAGGTCACGATCTCGCGGTCCGTGAGTTCGAGCCCCGCGTCGGGCTCTGGGCTGATGGCTCAGAGCCTGGAGCCTGTTTCCGATTCTGTGTCTCCCTCTCTCTCTGCCCCTCCCCCGTTCATACCCTGTCTCTCTCTGTCCCAAAAATAAATAAACATTGAAAAAAAATTAAAAAAAAAAAAAAAGAATGTCTGGACTTTTTAATCTGGACACTCTACATGCTTGTTTCTTTTGCATATAAAAGATACTGTCAATATTACCATTAGGATGTTCGCTAAAGGTTCGATAGTCAATATTACCAAAGGATGTTCGCTATGATCAATCTCATAATTTTGTCATGCTTTTTACAAGGTGAATCCACGTTATTCTTTCTTGGATTACAGAAAAGAGAAAAAAAATAGCCAAACTAAGCATTGCTCAACAGAGCACACAAAGAGGAGATACTGTAAGTCTTGTGCACCTGGGCTCTGTTCTGAACAGAAGGAAAAAAAAAAAAAAAGAAATTCCCTAAATATGTTATTCTGTCTTATTCAGCTGTGTTTAGCAATATATCTCAAGGTGAGTTCTGAGGGATAATTATGGCCATTACTCAAAAAACATCCCTAGTCAAATGTAAAATGTGCCAGTAGAAAAAATGAATCTTTAAGAGATACGATAGTGTTTTCCAAATTGATTTGATCAGAAAAACCCATGGCACATTAAATGAACATTAAATCCTTCTATACAGATGATCCATTCACTCCCAGATCATTCAAATACAACCTTTGGTTAAAGGGCATTATTAGAAGCAAAGTCTGAATCATGGAAGTGACTAGTTGAAATCTAGGTATGGCTGTAATACAACTGATACAGGATTTATCAGCGGGAAGCCATAAAACAGTTTAACAGCTTCATGTTCAAATACTTTAAAAAGTAAACAACATACATGAGTTTGAAACCACTAAACCGAAGGTCAGCAAGCTAGGGTCTACAGGTCAAACATGGCCTGTCACCTATTTCTGTTCAGCCCTCTAGCTAAGAACAGTTTTTACCACTTTTTTAATGGTTGGTAGAAAAGAAAAGTGAGAGAAGAATATTTCTTGCCACATGAAATTTAAATGAAATTCAAGTTTCAGTATCCATCAATAAAGTTTTATTGGAACACAACTATGTTCATTTGTTTATATATTATCTATGGCTCCTTTCAAGCTAAAATGGGAAAGGCTAGAGACAAAGACCACATGGCCCGCAAAGCCCAAAATATTTACTACCTAGCCCCTTAAAAAAAGGTTTGCCTGCTACTGTTCTAAGCAAACATTCCAGTATCTACAAATCTGAACAGCAGATACTCAGAGAGATGCAATGTTCTATCTTTGTTCTAGGAGACTGCCACTACTCTGAACACTGTTGGGACTCCTTTAGTGGAACTGAGTTCATTGAGGAAGCAAGTAGGCTGAATATGCAACCTGGAGGCACTAGGCCTGGGTCTACATCTGAAGTAAGCCTAGCAACAAAAGATGCAGAGTCATGGTGTATTAGAAATAGTTCCACATTTTAGAAAAGGGAACCCTCTTACACTTTTGATGGGAATACAAACTGGTGCAGCCACACTGCAAAACAGTATGGAGATTCCTCAAAAAGTTAAAAATAGAACTACCCTATGATCCAGCAATTGCAGACCAGGTATTCACCCAAAGAATACAAAAACACGAATTCAAAGGGACACATGCACCCCTATGTTTACAGCAGCATTGCCTACCATAGCTAAATTATGGAAAAATTCCCAAATGTCCACTGACTGATGAAGGGATAAAGAAGATGTGGTATATATACACATAATTGGATATTACTCAGCCAAAAAAAAGAATGAAATCTTTCCATTTGCAATAACGTGGATGGAGCTAGAGTATTGTGCTATGCAAAATAAGTGAGGGAGAGAAAGACATATGATTTCACTCATATGTGGAATTTAAGAAACAAAACAAACAAGAAAAGGAGAAAAAAAAAGAGAGAGAGAGGCAAGTCAAGAAACAGACTTTTAACTATAGAGAACAAACTGATGGTTACCAGAGCAGAGGTGGGGGTGAGGGGTTGGGTTAAATAGGCGAGGGGGATTAAGGAGTGCAGTTGTGGTGATGAGCACCAGGTGTTGTATGGAAGTGTTGAATCACTAAATTGTACACCTGAAACTTATTACACTAAATGTTAACTGATTGGAATTTAAATAAAAACTTTTAAAAAAATAAAAAAAGAAATACCTCCACATTCTAATCATATTCTTCTCAGACTACCATATTGTGACCTGGACAAGACACTTGTAAATCACTTTCAGAGGCAAGAGAAATTTAAGTTATTTTCCAAGTAAAAAAAAAATCAATAAATCACACTAAAGAACCAACTCCATCACATTCCAATAGTGATGTTGGAACAATGGGTAACCAGGTTGACTTTGTTTACCAGACTTGTACTCAAAAGACATCAAATATACTATAAAAGAATAAAAATTTAACCTTGATTGCTAGTACACAGAAGTGTGCATATTCTGACAGAAATGTCAAATAACAAGTAGCAAAAATGTTTGGAGCAACTGGCAGGGTATCTCAAAGAGGGATACAGATTCTTGGTATTAATACTTACAAAGCAATTGTACTCAAGTATGAAAATTATGGTGCACGTGGTAAGAAGTCAGTAATATCTTATTAGTGCCAACAGCACATCATCTTTTAGTACTTGACAGAAATTCAACGATTGACAGTAAAATCAATAACCCCCAAAATAACTAGCTAAACTGACTTCCTTGAAAAGAATGGTCCAATAAACTGGGAATACTAGAGTTTTATATGACAGAGCACCTGAGAATTACAGAAAAATAAGAGTAATAATCAACAACTCTGAACGGAGCCAGCCAAAATAGAAAAAGAACAGGATTTCATCATTATTAAAAGAAAGTCAATCTGACAGTGAATACCCTTGTTTAACAGAATTAAAGTCTGCTTACTACGCTGTGGTAACTACAAACTGTTGTAGGTATCTTAGTGCTCTCCTAAGATTCAAATCCCAAAATGAAGAAGGTCAATTATAAGGAACAACATTTGTACACAGGCTCTTCCCTCAGAAAGCAGCTGGCCCCCATGACCTTCTAAGGCATTCAGTGACTTCCAGATCCAGGCTTCCCCGGCCAACCGATTTCAAATGCAATCAACTCCTTTCCACTCTCTCCCTCTTTCCCCCTCCCTGTTCCTTCTACCTTTTTCTCTTCCTTTCTCTGCTTTTCTGCTTAAAAGTTCTCCACAGACCCTTTTACCACCTGACTTGCTATATAGTTAATTTCTGTATGAATTTGTCATCTGTTTTCCTCATTGGAAAATAGGCTCCATGAGAACAGAGGTTTTATTTTTGCCCATTTTGTTCACTGCTGTATATAAGCTCCCAAAATGCCATATGTGATCAGTAAGAACTTTTGTTGAGTGGATCAGGAAATGAATGCATGCAGCTATCAGAAAACTATAGATGTAGCTAAACATCTCCTTTACTTCACAATTTTGAAGAAAACAAATTTCTACAAAGATTATCCATTACAGCTTGTCTAAATCAACAAAAATTCTGAGTTAGGTAGTAAAAAAAAAAAAAAAAACCCATAAAAAAAGAAAATATTTTCCTTAAGTAAAAATTTCATTGTGTTTTACTTGTTCTGTTGGCTGTTTCTATATCCCAAATGGAGTGGGGATAAATAAATAGAATGTTGAGTAGAAGATAAGCATAATCCTAAAATAGATTATATTACAACCTAATATTCCCACATGATATGTCTGAGCATAATCAGAAGAATCTGTCAGGTTACCTGAGCTATAGAGGCCTGAGGGTTACCCAGTAAGTTTTTGAATGAACGCTTGGAAATCCATCTGAGTTGATGACAGAAGGAGGTGGCATAGGTGATCTCCCCAAAGGCTGAGCTCTTCTTTTTCTGACCCTCTGAGAGTTGATTTAATTCATCTTTTGTTTTTCTGGAGAAGGCAGAGTTGGCATAAAACTCAGCTATTTTTTCAATGAGTGGAATATCTCTCTTGGAAGGTTCTTCAGTCTCCTTGGCTTTGGAATAAAAGTAGATAAAGAAGGGAAACTTTATTAATAGAGTAACAACTGATTTAGCCCATTTTTCGGCAACCCTTTTCTTAGATTCTTCCCTAATACCTTAATTCTAATGCTTGAGTATAAAAAATTATTAGATCTGTCATTGCTCTACAACATTAGAAAAATCCAGTTAATTGGGGTGCCTGGGTGGCTCAGTCGGTTGAGCGTCTGACTTCGGCTCAGGTCATGATCTCATGGCTCATGAGTTAGAGCCCCACATCGGGCATCGGGCTCTGTGCTGACAGCTCAGAGCCCGAAGCCTGCTTCGGATTCTGTGTCTCCCTTTCTCTCTGTCCCTCCCCCGCTCATGCTCTGTCTCTGTCTCTCTCTCTCTCTCTCTCTCAAAAATAAACGTTCAAAAAAAAATTAAAAAAAAAAGAAAAATACAGTTAATTGACTGACTACTCCCATAAACTTATGAATACAGCAAACCTACTGACCTTTTCCTAACTATAATATTTGAACCCTAATTCTTTTAAAATAGACATCTTATCGTAGCAAGTTATAATTCCTAATAGAAAAATCTTGCCTTTGTTTTCTTCTATATGCAAATACATAAATTGCCAAGTTTCTTATTTCAAAACACTATAAAATCCATGGGCATTTTTTAAATAAAAATTCCCCGTAGAACTGATACTATCATATAAATGCTTATTTATAAATTAAATCAAAAATATTCTCAACAGTCAAGGAAAACAAAATCTGTGTTGACCAGTGCCATAGAGTGAATGTTTGTGATTCCTCAAGATTCATATGCTAAAACTCAATCCCCAATGTGATGATATTTGAAGGCGGGACCTCTGAGGGGTTATTAAGTCATGAGGGTGTTGTCCTCATTAATGGGATTGGTAAACTTATAAAAGAGGCCTCAGAGAGCTCCCTCCCTACTTCCACCATGTGAGGAGGCAATGAGAAGATGGTGACCCATCTCTGAACCAGGAAGCGGGTCCTCAACAGACAATGAATCTGCAGATACCTTCATCTTGGACTCCCCACTCCAGAACTGTGAAAAATAAATGTTTATTGTTTAAGCCACCTGTCTATGGTATTTTTGTCACGGTAGCCCAAGTGGACTAAGACAACAGTTATCAGAGGACAGTATTAATATAAATTCACAAAGCCATGATTTAATGAGTTGCCACATTGCTAAACTTCAGCTAATGCAGTGAAGCAATAACCTGTGACTCTCAACAGATTTTCATACCTTCACCCGCCTGGTCCTGTCTGTTTAATACCACAGCAGAGGAGTCTCCATTAATGACATCCAGGAAGAAGTCTGCAGGGTTATTATAGGGCTCACACTGGTAACCTACAAAAGAAGGCAACTCAGGTACACAAACTTGATGGTCTTGGAAAACAGAAACTCACTTACAGGGGTGAGAGAGGTGAGGGAGAGGGAGAGAATCTGACAACTTCTCCCTCACTTTTTTTTTTCTCTTCTCCCTTCACTAATTTACGTTTTCTTTTTATACATTCAATCACACAACATTTCAGCAATGCTCTGTCTCCCAGAAAAATACACACTTAAAACCAACCTAGGACTCTGAGAAAGTTCATACTAGGTCCTTACCTATCTTAGTTCATGAGACCTGAAACAGCTATCCTCAGTATGCTCTGAGGCTTATCAGAACTTCTTCAAAAATAGAAATATAGGTGCAAATAAAAATAAGTTAAAAAAAAAAAGCTGTAGCTAGAACTAATGCTCTTCAAAGCAAGGCCACAAGCAAAGAATGCTACAGCACAGCAGGACTGTCCTTGGGAGAGGCCAGGGGTGTGTTCTGCTCTCCAAGTTCACCTGGGGATGGCCAAATATGCATTCATTGTGCTGTCATAATTCCAATAGGGAGAACAAATCACCAGAGCAGCACTCCCAAGAGAATGTGACTGGCACAACACAGCTGAATGCTTATCTCAGCTTCTGTGGCACAATCCTCTGGACTCAACTTGGCCTCCAGTTTGACTCTAGGTTCATCTCCCCTAAACTCCTTAGACCTGTGTGTGCTTATTAACTTTAAATGATGGACATTAAATGGAAATTTTTAAAACTGGCTAGTGAATATTTAAAACTATATCTGGAGTCATGGAGCATCATCTATAATCGTATCCAAATATCTCTAAAATGAAGCAGCGGCGCCTGGGTGGCTCGGTTGGTTGAGCGTACAACTTCGGCTCAGGTCCTAATCTCACGGTTTGTGAGTTCGAGCCACATGTCAGGCTTTGTGCAGACAACATGGAGCCTGCTTCAGATACTCTGTCTCCCTCTCTCTCTGCCCCTCCCCGGCTCATACGTGCACTCTTTCTCTAAAAAATAAACATTTAAAAATTTTTAATAAAATAAAGCAGACAACGTGAGTCGTAAAAAAACAATTACATACTTCCATTCTAAATAGAACCAAGCAGTCCAAAACTGTCAGAAATGTCGGTCCCTCAAAGACAACTAGTCATTCTATTAACTGGCAAGTCACTCACACCCCCTCAAGGCCTAAATCTGCAATCTAACGTTACTAGAAAATTTTAAGTAGCATCTTATGAACCTCCACCAAAGGAGACTAACATCTTCTACGAGGGAATACAGTGATAAAGCCTGATCCATAATACAGTCAAGAAGATAATTGGAGGATACTATTAGGCCTTTCCCAAAATGTTCAACAGACATAACTGGCTATGAAGCCAACATATATCCTGAACTGAAGTGGGAAGCAGATCAGGTAAGGCCCAGTAGAAATACTCTTGCACACACATGCAGGCATACTCAACCAGGTCAGGAAAAAGACCCAAAGAACAGGCTAGTGCTGCAAAGTGAAGAAAAAGTCTAGCACCAAACTACCAAAGTTGTGTTGGAATGGGGGAAGCCATGGTATGTCTACTCAAAAATCAACAGCATTCCTATAGACCCCTTTTACTCTCTTTAGGATTCTCTTAATAAAGGATCTTACTACATGAAAAAGTCAAGCATACCCATTAATGCAAAGTAACCCAAGGCCTCCTGGGCAGGCCCATGGAACATTAGTCTTCCTGAGGCCAACAAGGTGAGGCTATCAAACAACTTGAAGATAGAGTAACGAGGCTGATGAATGGAGAAAATGATTGTTCGTCCCTGTTCAGACATCCTAAATTAAAAGTGAAAAAAATAAAAGTCATTAAATGTCTGAGTCATTAAACATGTGAAATGTGAACATCGTGGCAACTTTATTCCTGCCTCTAGGTTATCTATTCTTAGTTCGACTTGATTTTCTCTTACTAACTTCTCATTTCATATTATCTCTCTGATAGTTAGGAGACCTCAATTTGGTGCTTCTATGAAGCACTAGGGTTTCTAAAGTGTGTTCCATGGGCAGTCTACATCAACCAGAAGAGTAATTAAAAATGCAAATCTCCAGGGTCACCTGGGAGGCTCAGTCAGTTAAGCGACCTACTTCAGCTCAGGTCATGATCTCATGGCTCATGAGTTCATGCCCCGCATCGGGCTCTCTGCTGTTAGGACAGAGCCCGCTTGAGATCCTCTGTCCCCCTCTTTCTGCCCCTCCCCAACTAGTGCATGCACACTCTCTCTTTCTCTCTCTCTCTCAAAAATAAAGAACCATTTAAAAATGCAGATCCCTGAACATTCTCAGACCTATTGGGCCTAGTGAATCCATACATCTAACAAGCACCCAGGTAGTCCTGTAAGTACACTCAAGTTTGAAAACATATTATAGACTAAATATTAAAACAATGATTGCATGCCCCATTCTCACTGATCATTTAAATCTCTTGGCTCTTTAGGAATTGGGTTTCATTCTTTTCCCTTAATGATACAATTAACATTACTGAGTACTTACTATGTCTTTGCTACTACATACTTTATAGATAGCCTTATCTAAATTTTCACAATATTGTTACAAGGCAGTACCAATATTACCATTACCTTTATTTACAGATAAGACTTAAGAGAGCTGAGCAACTGGCCCTAAGTGTCACAGTTACTTAAGGGGTGGGGTTGGGAATTGATCTAATTCCATGGCCAAAACATTGTTAAACTACCTTTACACAGGAGTTACTACTTACGGGTAGAAAAAAAAAAAAAAAAA